ACCCACTCTGTCTCTGGTGAAGCCTCTCGCTGCCCCTGAGCCTCTGGCCTGTACCCCAGTTCTGTATAAACAAATAAATAAATCTTTAAAAAAAAAAAAGTCTTTTATCCTTTTATCCCCTTTTATCCTTTTAGCTTTCCCAGTCTGTTAGGCAACTGATAAAACAGTATTAACTGATCTACCATATACAATTATTAACTATTACTTAAGATGTAATAATTAAACAAACAAAATTGTCCTTATTTTTAATCAGTCTTTGGTCATTCAAAAAAATGGTGACTAAGATAATAGAACACAGTGGGAAATGTATTTGTAGTTTCTTCTTTAGTATATTTCGTTACTTTTTGACTTTTCACTAGTCACTTGCATTTAAGGGAAAATTAAATCCTTTAGTTAAGATAAGCCAGAAAGGATGAGTAGATAATAGTTATACTGTGGAACAAGCTTCTTTTCTTGGCCTTTTAGTAATAGACAATATCTCTTTCTATAACCTCAGTTAATGTCTAGGGAGAAAAATGTCCATGTTTACCCCACTTTTTCCTCATTTAATACTCACTTTTTGATTGTTAATTTGATCATTTTATTGAGTGTTTATTGTGTGCCAGGCATGGTATTTGTCACTAAATATCTAATGGTGACCAAGATACAGTCTCTATGTGTGGGGTCCACCTTCCTCTATATTTGTGACTTTGATGGAAGCAGATAGAAGAGGATGAAGGTAAACTGGAAATTGGAGCTGTCCTGTTACAAGGGCATGTAACTCTTTCCCGCGTGCCTGGGATTATGAAAATATATGTAGGCATGTGCCAATTGATAGCCTTATTTTCACTTAAAAATTATACAGGTTAATGTTTGGCATATTGTAAGGGCTCAATATGTATTTGTCCAGATGAAAGCATGGCTTCGTATTTTGTCTTTTTCATACCTCTTTCTTATATAGCAGTAAAAAATAGCAAGAAAACCACTTAATAATAATCCAACGCCAATTCCAATTGCAATGTATTTTTCATAAGAGTCCACAGCATATGAAGTTAAAGTCAAGTGCTCACATCTTTCTCCAGTATAACCAGTAAAACACCTTTAAAAAAATAAAAGAATGTATAATTTTAAAACTCATGATAATAGACATGCAAAAAGGTGACCAATTTCAAAGATGAAAATTTTAACAGAAAAGAACTAATCAAAATTAAAAAGGCAAATACCAGATGAAAATCAATCTATAAAAGGTATTTAAGAAGCTCTGTGTTTTACAATAATAATTTCATTAAGGTCCATATTAGTGCAACTTCTCTCAGTGGTAGATGAAAGACAGATAGTAACCCCCTAGTGCAGGAGTTGATCTAAAAAACTGTTCACCACCTCTTTCATCACAGGATTTTTAATAAATCAATTATCCTTAATATTGTGTCTTAGTTGCTTTATGACTTTATATTTTTGGAGTGTTTTGCTGTTTTGAAAACTCAGATTCATTTCTCTGTGTTGTTAAAATACAGGTTTATTTAGTAGTTTTGAGTTAGAGCATAAAATTTTGCATTTCTAACAAGCTCTGTGCAAGTTCTGTAGCCTTCAATTACAGAGATGCTATTGATCTGACCCATATTTTGAGTAGTGAGGATCAAGTAACTTAGGAAAAAGGTTCCTTAGTTATTAGAATATAAATAAGTGATGAGTCAGCTTTAGATCATGCATCCCTTATGCTAGATGAGAGCGATGTGTGTGAAAATGTACCAGGTGAAATACCAGAAGCATAAATTTACCTCCTGTTTTATGGACTTTGAAAGACCTTTGTAATTACCTGCATATGGCTTTCTCCAGCTCATGATGGAATGCACAAACACCATTGATGCAGTAATTATTGTGATCTTCTAAGCAAGGATGTGAGAACTTCAAGGCTATATGTCCTTCAGTGTAGTCAGCTAGGAAAAGGAAATACAATGTTAACAGATGAAGTGAGTGAGTCATATTTTTCATAGTAATCTGCAATGTATATGTAAAGAGAACTTTATTTTAAAAATTATTATTGGAGTAACAACAGTTTATATTAGTACATAAGTTTCATGTTCACAGCATGATAATTGGACATCTGTACAGGCTGCATTGTGATTCCCATTAATATGTAATTTTTATCCACCACTATATAATTGACTCCCTTTCCCATCCCCTCTGATAATCACCATTCTGCTAGAATCTAAGGTGTTTTGTGTTTGTTTAGAATATTTGAAGCAATCCCTAAGGGAGGGGGGAGGCTAGCAAAAATGTAGGTATCATGCTCCCTAACTTCAAACCATACTATAAACTCTAAAATTAATTAAATACAATAGCAAATTCCAAAATTTTTTGAAATTATATTAAAAATTAATCAAAATAGTATGATGTTAGAAGAAAGAGAGACATCTCTATCAGTAAAAGAGAATTTAAAACCCAGCAATAAAACCACATACATAACGACAATCAAGAAAGAGCAGGAGCCCTCCCTGGTGGTGCAGTGGGTTAAAACACAGCACTGAGAATCTAAAAGCCGCTTCGGCATGAGTTCGATTCCCGCCTGCCCCAGAGGTGACCACATGGTGAGGCAGACCTCTCCTGGCCTGCCCGCTGCTCCCCTCAGCAGTGTATTCCGTCAATCTGCCTGTTCTACTCCCCACGCTGTCTCTGGTGAAGCCTCTCACAGCCCCTGAGCCTCTGGCCTGTAGCTCAGTTCTGTATGCACAAATAAATAAATCTTAAAAAAAAAAAAAAAAGCATACAACAGAGAAATGGAAGCCTCTTAGATACAAGGCATTAGAAAAAGTGGAAGTCACATGCAATAAAAATTGAGACTCACTAATCATACAATATGCACAAAAATTAATTAAAAATGTGAGTATATGACCTAAAACAATAAAATACATATATGTAAACAACAAAATAAGCTTTTGACATTAGTCTTGTTGTCTTTGGGCAATCATTTCCAATGGCAAAGAAAGCAATAGCAAAAATAAATAAATAGGACAGCACCAAACTAAAAACATGTGCATAACAAAAGAAAAACATCATCAAAATGAAAAGACACCTTTTTGAATGTAAGAAAATATTTGAAAATTACATATCAATAAAGAATTAATATCCAAAATATATTAAAACTCAATAACAACAAAAAATATATTAAAGTTCAACAACAAAAAGGAAACCAAACAAGCTTATTAAAAAATGGATGGAAGTGGCCCTCCCTGGTGGCACAGCGGGTCAGAGCACAGCACTAAGAAGCTAAAGCCACTTTAACAATGAGTTCGATCCAGGCTTGCCCCGGAAGTGACCACATGGCACGTCAGACCTTTCCTGACCGCCCACTGCTCTCCTCAGCAGTGTACTTCAGCAGTCAGCCTGTTCTGCTCCCCACTCTGCCACTGGTGAATCCACTCACTGCCTCTGCATTTCTGGCCTGTACCCCAGTTCTGTATGCACAAATAAAATAAATCTTTAAAGAAAAAATGGACAGAAGATCTGAGTAGCTGTTTCACCCATGTTCATCCATATGGATGAACATCCATACATGTTCATCATCTTTTATTGGTAGGGGACTGCAAATAGAAACCATGATAAGGTATCTACTCACACCAGTTAGAATGGTTTTATTGAAAGGACAAGAAACAATAAGTATTGGTGAGAATATGGGGAAAAGGAAATTCTTGCATACTGTTGATAGAAAATAAGTTGGACAGTCACTATGGAAAACATCTAGTGAGATTGCTCCAAAAATTTAAAACAGATACCATATGATCCAACTATTCTTCCTCTGCATATTTATCTGACAAATATTAAGAAGATATATTTGCCTGATGTTCATTACTCACAATAGCCAAAATATGGAAACAATGTAAGTACCCATTAAAAATGAAAATATAAAAATGTAAAATAGATATAGAGAGATATAGATATGTATACACACACACACACAGCGGAATACTACTCAACTATAAAAAATATATATTTTTTTCCATTTGTGACAACATGGATATAACTTTGAGGTGATTCTTCTAAGTGAAATAAGTCACATGGAGAAAGACAACTACATGTCTTTACTTATATGTGTTCGATAAATGAACTAAAATTCAAACAAGACAAAACAGAAGAAATATTTATTTTTAGGAATATTATTTGGGTGCTCTGTCTTTTGAACTGTTGATTGAGTCCCATGGTTGGTTATATTTACAAGGGTTAGGTTAATATTATCTAGATATATCATTAATTAATTAGGGGTGAAAGTGGATTATTTAATTCTTTAAAAACTACATAATGAAGTCCACAGGGATTACAACCAAGATGAAAAAATATACAAAATGATGAATGATGTGTATATATATATGTATATGTATATATATATATGTATATGTGTGTATATATATGTATATATGTATATATATACATATATATATATATATGTATGTATGTATAATGTTAAAAAAATCTACATAATGAGATAGAGGTACAAGTTTGCCAAAAGGTGGCAGTATTGATTCTAGTCTTCGCAGGTTATTTTGAGTAAAGTTTCCCAAATGCTGATTACTACAGAAGCTCTAACACAAATTTAGACAGATTTGGATTACATTTGTAAGATAATGATGTGATTTCTGTTACTTTCCCAAAGAGGAGTAGATGAGAATTCTTTCTTCCTCTTAGGTTCTCTACCATGAGTGGTTAATAGGAAAAAAAGTGTTTTCGCTAATTTCAAAAGAGATATTTTTATGATGTTTCTGAGAACCCAGAAACAACTTATGCTCTAACTTAATTTATTCAACATAAGGTATAGAGATACAATTACTCAGTTAAGAGGCATTATGAGATAATGAGAGAAAACAGCAATCTGGAATTTAAAAACCTGGGTTTTAATTCTAACTCTAATATTGCAAATGATCACACTGTGTAAAATTTTGAAGTCAAGTGTCCAGAAAATTCTTTAAGGGAAGTTTCCCTTTTAGAAGCTGTGTTTTGGCAAAAATGTATATATTTTAGGATGCTTATATTCAATTCACTGGCATACTAACGACATATACCTATAACATCCTTGAAAATGACTCTTGTATAAAACTGCCTAATTGAATCCTTTTTGGTAAACTTTAACTATCAGTCCTTAAATTTTTCTCAAGCAAAATTAGTGGCATTTCATTTTGTCATTGGTATGAGTAAACATTTTGTCACCCTTTGTTATACTATTAAAGACTATATGTGCTTTGCAAAATAGCGTAAAAGAATCTTACTTATTTCTTTTAAGGAAAGAAAAAGTAAAACTAAAAAAAGGCTTCTTTTTTATATTGAAAATACAAAATATTTAGCTACTAAGGCACCAACAAGATTTTGTGTTATATAACTTCATTTTTGTTGAGATCACACAATATTACTGTAAAATCTGTGTTCATTTAAGTAATTAACTTTGAAGCATTGAGAATTTCCCATTATACGGAAATTATAAACTTTGCTAGGTCTTCCTACTTTGGGACCAAACAAATCTACTTAACCAAGCTGAGCCAGAATTTGCTAGAAAATGTGAAGACAGAATGAAGACATTCCCAAAGAAAGAGTACACTAGAGAGTCATCATTCTTCCAAGGAGAATGTTAGTTATAAATTTATTAAAAATTCCCTGAAATACTAGATTCAGATGACTAATAAAAAGCAAAGAAAAATTAAAATTCTTAATCAAGGAGGCACAGGAAAAAATAGTGATAATATAATAAATTCCTTTTTTCCATTTTTATTATCTGTAACTTGGAGAATATCATTTGCAGCTCACTCTAAAGGAAGAAAAAAGCAGAGCTGGACCAACTATGGCAAAGCCCTCACTGACTGAAATCTACACTTCTTTGATTCTTTAGGGTATTATCTTCTAAGTAAAATATTTCTTCTTTCATGTCAGAAGACATTAAGTTAGCTAAATGTTATTCTAAAACACTGATTATGTTTTCAAATTGGCAGAAAATCAAAAATTAAATGGATAAGATATTTAAATAAATCGATTAAGGACCCTCCCTCGTGGCACAACAAGCAAGCTGCAAATGCTTCAGTGCAAGTTCGAGCCCGGCTCAGAGATGAACCACATGACACGGCAGACCTCTATGACCTCCCCGTCAATCTGCCTGTTCTGCTCGGTACTCTGGTGAAGCCTCTCACCGCCCCTGCACCTGGCGTCGCCCAGTTCTGTATGTATAAATAAATGAAATCTTTTAAAATAAATTAAAACATAAAATCGTTTAAAATGTTAAATGGTGACTATTTAATAATAGTACCCTCTCATATTCAGAAATGCAATAGTTTCCAAGCTCTGAGAGCGCGAAGCAATTTCCTTTGCTCTGTCACATCGCCAGTCCTCCCTTCGGAAGGCAGTGGGCGATTTCTGTGGGAATCACAACCACCCCGTACACAGGCCTTGGCAGGTAACAAGCTTTCCAAGTTCACTTCTAAGAGTTCAAACAGGTTTGAAAAAATGCTGATGCTTAACAGCAGCCAAAGCTAGGCTAATGATAATAATAAAGTCGGAAAGAAAGCACATCATCGCCATCAACAATAACAACAAAAAAGAATCTGGGCACAAGCGTTTAGGAAATGTGCTATATGCTAAAACAACAGAAGTCTCAAAAAACAAACAAGGAAAAAGAGCTTTCCGAAGATGAGCAAAAGCGGAGTAAGCCTTCATCTTGTAGCTGTAATTTCTTTCACTGCAGAGCTTAGTAATTAATCAGATTATGACGTCACTCATCAAGAATGTCAAGAAGGGTCAAACTGCCCCTCCACAGGCCAGAATTAAGCAAGAAATGTGGTTTATTTCTCATTCAGGACAGTAACCAAGACAACTTTTCATTCCTCACATAAACATCCTCCTTTCCCAAAGACAATTCTTTGCTAACAAATTGAGTGGATTTCCTAGTAATAAAAATATATTTACAAATTTCCAATGTTACTTTTATCACAATTCAAATTTATTTCAATGTTTTTTTTAAAGTTACTTAAAATGCAAAAAATGTAAAGAAAATACCTTTTGTTTTGTTAACTGTCCAGTTACTGTGCTGGGCTGTGATTGGGGGTGTCACAGAGATGGTTGCTGCTTCTGTCAGTACTGTTACTGCTGTGTGAAGGCAGAAAGGGAGATGGAAAGTTATTCTCCTTGCTCTCACTTTTGTTCTATTTCTAACACATTTACACTTGAAGTTCTCAGCTTGGTCAGGGAGCTTGCTTAAAAGTTTCACATCCATACCTACTCCTTTGAATTGGTAACTCTAGAAAATATTTTATAAGAGAACGTAAGTACATTTATTTTCTAACTCAACCACAAGGATGCTACTACATAGTAGTTAATAAGTATCAACTACTTTTCAATTGTATAATGCAAACATTTAAAGGTCTCCAAAAAAAGATATCTTTTCATATCCAAAAAGGAACATAATATGTAAGAGTTTACTGAATAAATTCAGATTCCTTGCTCAATCTTTGTCATGATGAACAAGTGTTAAAAGTCATTCTGAGAAAACAAATTCTAGTCACACTTTACACTGATATCAAATTAACAACACATAAAGAAATGACTTACCATTGAATAAGAGATAGATAGACACTGGGATTCCAAAAGCCATTTCCTGTTCTTCGTAACAGTATCTTTCCCTTATCCTCCTCCCCCGACAGGTGGAAGGTTTTTATTGCGCTGTCTGAGTCCTTCTTGCATTTATATTTCACCAAGCGTCATCTGGCCGTTCTTACCAATCAAAGAGAAATGTACTTCTGGCAGCAGCATGAAGCCTTCAGGCACTCACACACTTAGGATACCTGTGTTATCTCGCACTGTGATCAAGCTTTCTTTTGAAACACAGGTTTCCTGTTACCTGTGGGTATAATCATGTATGTAAAAGTATTTAAAACAACAACAAAAAATTGAATTCAGGGAAGGACCCATGGTGTTAACAGAAATGTACCAGCTCCAGAAATGCTGGGGACCCAGGAACCAACATAGGATATCAACAAAGAGGAGTTTTGGTATTTGCCAAATAGGAAACAGCACAATCTGTTATTGAAAGAAACATCCCTGAAGCTGCAGTCACACTACTTACCTTTCATGACATCTAAGGTTACATTTATCAGGTATTTTGTAATTTTGTGACAGGGGAGAACAACTACATTTGTATAAAAACACAGGTTTACTATTCCATTTCAATTTTTGCTAATTCATGACTTAGCAGTTTTATAAAAATAATTCTTTTTAATAGTAAAGCATTTACCTTTATGTCATTCTGGGTTTTTTTTTGTTTGTTTTTGTTTTTTGGGTAATTGGAATGGGCTACCAAATTCTAGTACCTCAGTGCCTAAATCTGTGCCCCAATGAGTAGACTAGACTAGAGAGAACTAGAAAATTAGTAACACAGCAATGATGAGGATGGTGGTAAAGTTTCCATCAAGATAAATTCATAGATTTTGGTATATCTAACTAGCAGTAAAATTTAAATTTAACATAACATTCAAATTTTCAGTTAACCTAGTTAGGATTATTAAAGTGCCATTTAAAAAAATCAAACATGTAATTCTTGTGATGACATTTTATGACCAACGGTACTTCCCATAAATTTTCACTTGCTCCAAATTGTTATAAATATTTATAAATACTTCTTGCAGACGTGTTGTGACTTTTTCCATGGAAATTACAATTGCTCATACTTCCTTTACCTGAAAAATCTTTTCAGTAAGTCAAAAGTATCATTTATATAATGTCTACTAGGCAAATACAATTTACCAGAAAGGATTCCTTTTACTATTCAAATATGAATTTGGCTGTAGAAATCACACAAGAATGAGCTTGTTGAACTCATTATAACTTGGGCAATCACTTACCATGGGAGTCATCGTTTTTAAATTAAAAAAAAACATATATGGCACTTGGATTACTTTAAATGTGTCTACATTTTGTATTTCTACTTTTGTGGGCTTTAAAAAAATAATTAAGACAATTACTTGATAATATTTTCCCAGGAAAATAATATTCAAATTACAACTGAAATAATCATCTTCAGCACCTCTGGTGAGAAATGAAATTATAAAATTAATTCACAATAAACGAAATAAACTATAATTGTCACTTCTAGAGAGAGATGCTGGGGCTAATGTTAATTCCACCACCACCCCCCGCCACCCAAGGCCAGGCTAGAGTATAGTCACCATCTTTGTAATAACTAACTGGTGCTTGTGCATTGGCATGGCATTTTGCATAAGATTTTCATTCACAACTTAATTCTTTCTCTGGTAAACCTAACTCCCAAAATTTAGTATCTGACATATAATAAATATTAAATGAATCTGTCTTGAGTGAGCAAAGAAATAGAATCAAGACTTGAACCCATGTTCCAAATCTAGGTTATCTGTACCAAATGTCCTTTACATTTTCACAGCCATGTCCTCTGGTAGGATTTAGCATACTGACCTCAGTGGAATTCCCTTAGTTATCTCCTAAAACCAACCTTTAAATAAATTACCTTTGCCATGAGAATCTGTTACATGAACTGTGACCTTCCCGTATATTTGGTCTACCAGAAAGGGAATACTATCTCTCTAGATGTTGCCCTGTTCTGGTGAACTGGGTCACATACAAAGTGACCTACCAGTTTAGCTAAAGGCTGACACCAGAAAATGGCTCTAAGAGACCTCACATGCTTCTTTTCCTCTAGGACTCATAGTGATGGATCTCATACTCAATGGAAAAATCTCTTAGCTTCCCTTTTTAAACCCTTTCATCAGAAAATTATTTTATCCAACCCTGAAGAATGGGACCTCACTGATATCTTTATTCATTTTTTTGTAATGTTGAGTATTTTTTTAAACTTTTAAAAAATATGTTCAGAATATAGCCCTCCCTGGTGGCGCAGCGGGTTAAAGCACAGCACTGAGAATCTAAAGCCACTTCTGCATGCGTTCGATTCCCGCCTGCCCCGGAGGTGACCACATGGTGTGGCAGACCTCTCCTGACTCACCCGCTGTTCCCCTCAGCAGCATACTTCGTCCATCTGCCTGTTCTGTTCCCCACTCTGTTTCTGGTGAAGCCTCTCACCACCCCTGAGCCTCTGGCCTGTACCCCAGTTCTGTATGCACAAATAAACCTTAAATATATATATATTCAGAATATCATTCTTCATTTTTGGACAATATATGGGTTCTCCATGAAATTCCCACCACCAATTCATCCACGCTCCATCACCATAGTCCCTTGTGTTCTTCCCATCCCTGTCTTGGTCAATTTTCCCTCTTCATCCCCTACAGAATGTCTTTGCCTGATGATTTTGATTTTTACTTTATTACTTTTTTTTTTCCGATTCCTTTTTTGTTTTCTCTACATTCCTCCACAAGTGAGACCATTTGATAGTTTTCTTTTTCTTTCTGGCTTAATTTGCTGAGCATAATTCCTTCCAGGCCCATCCATGTTGCTGCAAAGGGCAACATGATTTTTGATTGCTATGTAATATTCCATTATGTAATTATATCACATCTTCTTGATCCAGTCATCTACTTTTAGGTATCTGGGTTGCTTCCTTAGCTTACCTACTGTAAATTGTGCTTCAAAAAACATATAGGTGCAGGTGTCCTTTTGATGTTCTTTAGAGCAGCTCGGAATAAGAAAGAAAAAGAATCTTAAGAGCTAAGCAACTCTGCCATCACTTTCCATCCTGTACTTTTAGTGTATCCATTTCTCTCGTCTTGGTATAAGCATTTCTGTAATGTACTCATTCCCCCTCTCCTTTTACCCTTTATTTTCCTCTTTATTTTTTCTTGCTTTTTCACTAACAATCAAATTTTGGTGGGTATTAACAACAGCTCATAGCTTTGCTCTCAATCAACTTTTCTATAATTCTCATTAGCTCAGCTGCATTCATTATTTCATACTGAATACTCACAACATCGATGGTACTGGGATAAGTGCACTCCATGCATGCTTAGACACTACCCTAAGGAACCAAAGGGAACCAAGGAAAGCATGTATCTAATTACAGTAAGAGGCAGGGGTGATACCTGCCATGAATATGTGCATAAACAGCTATCAGAGCTCAGGGTGGGACTTGGTCAAGCTTGCAGCAGTCTTTCTGGACAGATTTTATTTGAAGTGCATGTTAAATCACAAGTAGAATATATAAATACAGTGATAACAGAAACTATTGGTGGGTAAGGTAGGTGTGGGTGGAGGGGCTTCTGAGAACAGGGAGATTTGTGTAATGAAATCAGAGTGGGTTCTGGCTCACATAAGCCCAATAGACATTGCTTTGAATTCCAAATCCAGTTTTATTTTCCATTTGGTCATGGTTGGACTTGTTAAGTAATCTCCAGGGTCGACTTCTTCCTCTATCAAATAGAAATTATCAGTAACCAAACAATGGGTTTAAAATTGCAGCTTCTGCCTTTTCCATGT